TTGGTCAATTATTTTGTATTACCTTTTAATATTTTACGTATTTATAAATATGTATATATGACTAGGCGTTTTATACACACACATACAAACAGGGCATAAGACTAATCTAAAATATTAACCGCTAGGGCCTCGATATTTTGGAGGAAGATTGGTGACTCAGAAACCAGAATAAGTGGTAATTGGTGGTAATTGTAGGTGGTAATCCCTCGATATGCGTGGATGCCATGTGCGGATACGCAAAAGTTGAGTTCACTAAACAGCTAGATGATTTTCAACAAACGACCACTCAACAAAAGTTCTTCATTTCCCTTTTGGCAAAATTTACGATAATTTGCACCAATGAGCACACAGTCAAGCCTAAACAACAACCACTCATAAAGTCAACGATCCGACTGTTCCAAGTTTGGTGCAAAAAAGTGAGGTCGCGCCGGCAAGCGCGATGCGTTCCAGCGTGATTTAGTCATTTTTTACTTCCCCTACGCTCCTCTCACCTCCCGTCATTTCTCGTCTTTCTTGGTCTAACGACACGAGAACCAAAAATTCAAAAAGCTTAATGCACATTATTTAAAGACAAACTCTGAGAAGAAAAAGGCTGATTTGGTTGGGAGAATTAGACTATGAAGAAAATTTAAAACAATATGAAGATAAAATGACCTGTTTCTCCGAATCGCTTACGAAGCAAAGCAAACAGAATAGAGTGACCGGTAAGGTAACAATAAATAGCGCTAAAGCGGTATCGATGTTGAATGAAATCGATAGTGCACCAACAACCATTAGAAAAATTGTTCCTGGGCCCACTACTGATGATACTAGCATTATGCACTGATACACGATATACCTGAAATCATCGGTTCACTGCAAGCCTTAAGGCTCAAGCAACCTTCATGTTTTCCAATAAATAACGAAAGATAACAATTGTTCACATTTCGAATTAAGCCCAATTAATTCACCGTAGATGAAAGCCTCAGTTAAAGCTATGGGAAACAGAAAGAGATTTTCGATATTTTGAAGGAACTGAAGGTCTTAGAAATGTTACCTATATTTTCTGTGGTCTTGATGTTACTTTGCGAGAACCATAAACGACAATCGGTGGGCCACGCATTTCGTTGAGTATTATCTTTGGAAAAGAAAATGGTCACTAAGTGACCACTAAAGAAATGGTACCGGTTGATGAGAATAATAAAAGTGGAAGGAGAGCGGCCAGGAGAGGAATGCCCTGTAATAGTCCCAGCAGCTATATAAGCCATCGTGAAAGTGAGCTGAAAGTTGAATTACTTGCTAACCAAATAGATATCGATTCGTTAACATTAATGACATTCTTGTAATCCTGTAGAAGATCAATGATATTAGCCAATGTTGATGGAATCCAGCGTCGTCGCTGATTAAAGAATTCATTAAAGCCTTCCGGTGCGTACGTAAGCGCATCAGATGCTGCACAGTACTCGACTCTGTAATGGCATTCAGATTCAAAATTTTTTGAAATGCTCTACTTTGCGGAATTTGATTCCATCATTGAGAAAGTCAAGTCTGCTACGAACCGTCTACTGATAAAATTTTGATGGCAAATGCCAGACAGTTACAATCACCAAAAGTTGCTTGTAAGCAAATTCGGAAACGAAAATCCTCTGCAGCTCTTGCTGTTGGTATACATTACTTTCAAGTGCCTCCGAAATGCCGTAGAGAGTGAATGAGGAGGGAGCATGGACTTTGGTTTTAAAGCTTTTTTATAAAACAGTTGAAAGACTTGTTCCTTGTAATTTTTATACCCGTTTCTTTTTACGCATTTTTTGCACCTATGCAATGCAAAAGGGAATATTGTCGAAGAGTTTTCTGTGTGTTTTTGTGTGCGAATTTTCCATCTGGGTAAATACGAAAGCTAGAAGGCTGAAACTTTGGAATTAATCTACATGTCTGTACGGGCCATGCCCTCAAAATGGACGCCCTTGCCTGCGTGGTTCCCAAGTACGGGCCTGTGAAAATTCTTCGCGAGCACATTTCTAATTCGTGAATCTGAAAAGCTAGAATTTTGAGGAGATGTTTTCTGTTCACGTACAGTCTAATGGCTTCAAACTTAGCCCCCAGGCCTGTGTGGTTCTATCCGCGAAAATTTTTGGCGGGCAAATTGCTAACTGTGGGAGACCTAAAAAGCTAGGGTTGAAATTTTGGGGAGCCTTTCTGCCTAGATAGAACTAATAAGTTCAAATTCAGCTCCCAGGTGCGCGTAGCTCCCATGTACGGGACTGTAAAAGTTTTCGTTGTGTAAGTTGCTAAATCGAGAAAAGCTAGAAAGTTGAAATTTTGAGGGAATTTTTTCTGACAGTCATTGTGGCTCGTTTCCATTCTTTTAGCTAGAAGCGTCGGCCAATAAAAGCACAGTTAGCGACAAAGCTTGCGGAGAACTGTGCAAAACGCGCGTCTTCGCACCGGCAGTCGGGGCGTCAACCAATTATTTTTTAAGAAAGCCGCAAGCCACTCTGCCACCACATGTTGCTTCCAAAACAATTAATGAAAGCATACCGATAACCACGCTGAAGGAGTAATGTACACAACCACCGATCTTCGCCTTGATCGTACTGAATGTAATCAATTGGATTCTCTGCCTGAAGTGACACTGAAATTGCTTGTTGCTGTTACAAACTGACAACTAGCGGCTCACGAAGATCGGTAACGAATCAACCTTTGATGCATAACGCCGCGTAACATTATCGTCCATCAAAGCCAGAGATCGGAACAGCGAGAAACATCCCGGAGAACATAACACACAACCAATCATATGTTCCGTCGCTTT